TTATTTATTTATTTATCTTCTGGGGAATCTCTGTCTCTACTTATGCCTCTCCTCTTTCTCAGCAGTCTCTCATTGCAGAACCCAGGCTGGCTGGAACTGGGATCCTCCTGCCTCAGTCCCCAGAGCACTGGGACGTCAGGCATGTATATGCCAGGGTAATGAGGTTGTTTAATGTCTGGGCTCTGAGCTTCATGAAGAGCCTGTCTGTAGACGGACCAGTCAGCACCTGGACCAGCCTCCAGCTTACAGTAGGTGGCTCAATCTAACATGTGTTGACCCAGCCAATTATGTTGTGATTCTATTCAGTTGCCAGGATCTGCAAAACTGGAAAAACCCAAGCTGGCCCCTAGAAGCCTGATGGGAGCTCGTTTTCCTCTTCTGGCCTCAGAGCTGCCTCCCTGGTAGGCCTAAGCCTACTGCTCCACTGGTCCCTCTGGACCTGCCCGCCCCACCTTCCCCCCATGGCCACTGATGGCCTGTGAGCCCAGGAAACCCGATTGGCCTAAACTGGGCTGTGCTAAAGGTATAAAGAATGGGCTGCATTTCAGCTGGGCATGGTAGCACATGCCTTTAATCCCAGCACTGGGAGGCAGAGGCAGGTGGCTCTCTGTGAGATGGAGGCCAGCCTGATCTACATAGCAAGTTCCAGTCCAGCTGTGGTACAGGGAGAAAAAAAAAAAAAAAAAAAAAAAAAAAAAAAGAGAGAGAGAGAGAATGATCTGCATTTTGTAGGAAAAAGGGCAGTGAAATATCTCCGTAAGAATTTTTAGGGGCAGGGCAGGAGAGATGACTCAGTGGTTAAGAACACTTGCTGCTTTGAGGACCAAAGTTCAGTTCCAAGCACCCATGTTGGTTTAGACAGCTCATAACTGCCTGTAACTTCAGCTCCAGGGGATCCAGCTCCCTCCTCTAGCCTCGTTGGGCACTCATGTGCACACACACATACATACATTAAAAAAAATAAAAATAAAATATTAAGAAGATTTGTTAGAGATAGGTGAAGCAAGATGGCTTAGCATGTAAAGGTGCCTGTCACCAACACTGGTGACCTGAGTTCAATCCCAGGACCACATGGTAGAAGGAGAGAACTGACTCTAAGTTGTCCTCTGGCCTCCACATGTGTGCTATAGCATGCAAATCTTGGGCTGGGTGCGGTGGCACACACCTTTGATCCTAGCACTCAGGAGGCAGAGGCAGGCAGATCTCTGTGAGTTCAAGGCCAGCCTGGTCTACATAGTGAGTTCCAGGACAGCTGGGGCTACAGGGAGACCCGTTCTCAAAAAGACCAAAAAAAAAAAAAAAAAAAAAAGGGAAAAAAAACTTAAAAAAAAGAGAATCTTTAAGAAGCTGGATTTAGTGGCACAGGACTGTCATCCCAATATTCAGGAGGCTGAGGCAGGAGAATCTAAATATTGAGATCCTATTTCAAAAAAAACAAACAAAAAGGGTGTGTATCTAAATTTTAGGGCTTGGAGTACAGCTCAGTGGCAGAGCAGTTACCTATAGCATATGTGAGGCCCTAGGTTTAAGCCCCAGGACTACAAAAAATTATAATACTGCTTACATGTTGAAATGATACTGTAAAAAAAAAAAATGTGGCTTTGGGCTGGAGCTATGGCTTAGTGGTTAAGAGCACTGGCTGCTCTTGCAGAGGACCCAGGTTCAATTATTAGCACCCACATGGAGGCTAAAAACCATCCATAACTCCAGTTCCAGGGGATCCACGTCCTCTTCTGATCTCTAGGAGCCTGGGAGCATTGTATGACACAGGTGCACTTACATCCATGTAGGTAATAACAATATACATAAATTTTTTTTTTTTTTGTCTTTTTGGGACAGGATCTCCCTGCAGCCCCAGCTGGCCTGGAACTCACTATGTAGACCAGGTAGGCCTTGAACTCACAGAGATCCACCTGCTTCTGCCTCCCAAGTGCTGGGACTACACGCATGTGCCACCACGCCTGGCTCATAAAATAAAAATATTTTTAATATAGCCTCAATAAAACATTAATAAAATGAATTCCAGCTATTTCCTTTCATATTCTATGTGGCATGAGGGCATTTAAATTTGTAGATGTGGAGCTGGGGTGGTGATCCCCGGCAGAGCATTTCCCAGGCCCACAGTTTCCACCCCCAGGAGTGAAAGAAAATTTCTGATAAAAGTGTTCATGGCAGGGCTGGAGAGATGGTTCCGTGGTTAAGAACACTGGCTGTTCTTGCAGAAGACCTGAATTCAAATCCCAGCACCCACATGGCAGCTAACAACTGTGCAAAACTCCAGTTCCAGGGGATCCAATGGCCTCTTCTGTCCTCAATGGGCATTGCATGACACAGGTGCACCTACAAACGTGCAGGCAATACACTCATACACATCATAAAATAAAAACAAAAAATTTAAAAAGTATTCATGTGTGTGCAAAACAACAACAAAAACCCAATAAGGGCCGGCGTGGGCGTGGCGGCGCACCCTGTGGTCCTGGCACTTGGAGGCAGAGGCAGGCGGATCTCTGTGAGTTCAAGGAGAGCCTGGTCTACACAGCGAATTCCAGGACAGCTGGGGCTACAGGGAGACCCTGTCCCAAAAAAGAAAAACAACAACAAAAACTATAAAAATGTTAATGAAATAAAAAACACAAAAACATATTAAACCCAAAATTACACATGCAAGTTGCAGGGGGGATGTGGGTTTTTTGTTTTTTGTTTTTGCCAAGGTGCTGGGGATGGAAGCCAAGGTTTTGGCACTCTTCCATTAAGCTACTGAGCTGTCCTCAGCTTGCTTGCTTGCTTGCTTGTTTTTTTTTTTTTTTTGGTCTTTTTGAGACAAGCGTTTTCCCAGCTGACCTGAACTGGCTATGTAGACCTGGCAGGCCTTTAACTCAGAGATCTGCCTGCTTCTGTCTCCCAAGTGCTGGGACTAAAGGCGTGTGCCACCACGCCAGGCTGTTTATTTCTTTTTAATTAAAGATAATTTTTTTTTGGTCTTTTTTGAGACAGGGTCTCCCTGTACCCTGGTTGTCCTGGAACTCACTATGTAGACCAGGCTGGCCTTGAACTCACAGAGATCCACCTGCCTCTGCCTCCCGAGTGCTGGGATTAAAGCCGTGCGCCACCACACCTGGCCCTAATTAAAGATAATTTTATGTTTATGTTTTGCCTCCAAGTAAGTGGACCTATGTGTGCAATACTGGCAGAGGCCAGAAGAGGATGTCAGATCCCTTGGAGCTGGAGTTACAAGTGGTTGTGAACTGCTTGACAGGGGGGCTGAACTCAGGTCCTCTGCAAAAGCAGCAAGTGCTCTTTTTAAAAATGTCTGTTATTTTATTTGTATGATTGTATTACTTTCATGTAGGTAATGTACCTGTGTGATGCCCTCAGAGGTCAGAAGAGGGTGTCAGATCCCTGGGAATTGGAGTTACAGATGGTTGTTAGCTGCCATGTGCCACTGTGCTTGACTGCTGAGGCATCTCTCCAGTTTCATTTTGCATTTCTAATGGACTTAACTGGCCTTAAGGAGCCACCACATTGGGCCTAGCAAGATGGCTCGGTGGGTAAAGGTACTTGCCACCAAGCCTGACTGCCGGAGTTTGATTCCCAGCACCTACATGGTGAAAAGAGAGAACTGACTCCCACAAGTCATCCTCTGACTGCCACATGTGAATTGTGGCATGTGCATACATACACAGACAGACAGACAGACACACACACACACACACACACACACACACAACAAATAAAACAGAATTTTTTTAAAAAAGCCACTATCTGGGGTTGGAGAGATGGCTCAGTGGTTAAAAATACTGACTGTTCTTGCAGAAGATCCAGGTTTGAATCCCAGCACCCACATCCCACATGGCAGCTAACAACTGTCCATAACTCATTCCAGGGGATCCGACAGTCTCTTCTATTTTCCATGGGCATTGTGCGACACAGGTGCACTTAACTACATGCAGGCAATACACACATACACATAAAAATAAATAAATAAATAAAAAATTTAAAAAATAAAG